ATCATTGTGGGAAAATTCTACTACCAGTCCTTCATCACCTTAAACGAAATAGGGTGAATTCATCTCATATAATTAATACCATTACTTGTAGCATTCTCTGTACTGAATCAAATTTTTCGACCAGGTCTGGGTTCCAAATAAATTATAAAAAATTCATTTTCTCCTTGTTATAACTTCGTTTAAAGGTATTTTAATAGGCCTTTTCTCCAAGGATACCACTTGCGCCACAAAGACTTGCAATCATTTCACTAAGGCCAGGGGATTACCAAATAATGAGCTTTGTGCCCAGGACGCACTCTTTCTTATTATCATTCAGCGTAACTATTCCAATGATCTCCTTTCTATATAACGCTATTACAACAGCAATAATCAGTCTTAATTTATGCAAAGGCTGTTACAGCATATGTATCTTCTCACCATAGCATTTAGAGCACCCGTTTCGACCAGACTCCTTCTGTGTACCGGGCGTGAGACGTCGTGAGAAAGGCCCAGCGTTCTGATCACTTTGCAGCGTGGCTGCGGGAAGCCGGCTTTGGTCAGGAGAACTAGTGATAAAGTCGCCGACTGATGCAGGAGACCTTGCCTTCCGTGAAATTGACTCGGTGATCCTTCTTTTATCACTAAAATCCGCACCGACAGTTGACATTCCACACGAATTGGCGCACTGAATTCCATGAAAAGACCGAGCTGACGCTGAAAGAGGATGAGGAGAATCAACTTCCCGAAACGATTGAGGACTATCCTGACTGTTTGCCTGAATGGGCTCTTTTGCTGTCATGGCTATGGCCAGATTGCAGTTAGATACAGAGGAGGTAGTATTTATGGTGCTGGAGCGAAAAACGGCTGACTGCGTCCCGTTCCCCAGAGCTGCAGCTGTCGCAAGACATGAAATTCGAGCAGTTGAACTTGAAGTTTCCATAGCGCCTTGCTGGTTGCACTCGCCATTGGAAGTACAACTTTTTGCTCCGATTCCACTGCTACTTCCTCGTCGCTCTCCACGTATTGCACCCATCACATGACCAAACAAGTGGCAGGATGTGGCAGTTGTGTTGGCTGCATGAATGGGAGCGGCGCGGACAAGTTGACGAGAATTACAGCTAGGGCTTACAGTATGACCCCCGAGGCCTCCTGTTCCAGCCCCGCTGGCTGAGCAGAGTGAAGTGGAGGAATCAGTATTCAACTTTCGGCTCAGATGATTACGCCGACAATTAACCTGAGTCCAGAAAATAGACAGAAAGTCGGAGCTTATTAGGGGAACATGGCTTTGAGAAAAAGATGCCAACCAATTCACTGAAATGCACCTCTTAGGCTATTCTTTCACAAATATCATTTCGGAAATCCTTTACTAGTGACTTTTTAGCCTCTCACATTTCAATTTGCTAGCCTACATAAAGGTTACATGATCCAGGGGCCACAGAATTTTGCTGATTACATTAAATCCCTTATTAGCTTTCATTGTGAAAACTATGAACCGAAGCTGCAAAATCTACAATAATGCAAACACTTTTCTGAGTAAGTGATTTTAATATTTCATCGTCTAACTAGGAAGAATTAACCGTCAGTTTAATTAGTAAATTAGAATTAAGCTTTTAATTGAATTAAAAGTAAAATTAGTAAATCTCACACCAGCTCCTTCATCGCCTCCCTGGACTACAAAAAATAAAGTATGCTTCTTTGTGAGAAATGAAGCTGGGTTTCGAAGAATCCCTTAGTAGATTGATACTGGCATACTTTTTATTTCTTTTGAGAAGGCGGGTGGAAGGAATTCGTAGATTGGTCGCACCGGGTACCAAAGGAGGGTTGCCTTGGACTTTCGTCTATTGACTTGTTCGAATAAAACCTCTGCTCACCGTCCTACGACCCCGATCACTCCGTGCTGAGCTCTCGCCAGAAACCATTATTCACAAGCAATCACCGAAAGCCCTAAACCAAGAAAAGTGACCAGTTGAACTCCTACTTACTTCTTATACCTCACTTTGCGATCTTAATGAGACATTCCACGATCTTAGTAGAGGTTAGTAACTTAACTGGCTGATTAGCAGATGAAACTAAAAATGGGATTTAGACAGGTTATTCCTCGAATTGATAACCATGTAGAACCATCGAATAAGAATAAGTGGATTGATAATATTACCAATTT